TCCTGCTGCCTCCCGCTGACACCTCGCACTACACAAGATCCAGCCTTCCCACAGACGAGCCTGAACCCTGCCTCAGCCAGCAGAAATGTGCTGAACTGTGAAGCATTTCTTTATCTTTCTAACCCCAGGGGCCTCAAAGGCCAACCATCACTTACAACGGCTGTTGCTTCTGTTCTACCAGGTTATTATATTGCCAACAGCGAGAGCCCAGGCACCACAGAGAGTTCATTTTGCAATAAGCTACATTCTGTTGTGCTTCATTTTGGGGATATTCTGCATTGCATCAGTTTTCTTTGAATCTGCCACAAACAAAGGGAAAGATTAAGTCATCTTAACCAATTAGTCCGCCACTGCTGGTAGACTGAGTTACCTTGATGTGTGAGATAACAAGTAGGTATCTGTCCCATTCTAACACTTTTAGAAATCATGGGACAACGGGTGAAGTGATGGTGGAGGTGTTTGCCTCGTTACTAAATAAGGACAGCTGTCCTGCGTCAGGCGAGGGTTCTGTCTGCCCCACTTGCTGTCTTTGATGAACAAATGTTCGTGAGAGGCACAAGAAAGCAGAGAACTGAACTTGGATATCTGTCAGTCCAACATTGGTTTAGCTTCTGCTGTGGCTGAATCTCAAGTTTTGGTTTAGTTCACGTCCAGGCCAATAACAGCTTCTTAATCTGATTAGGAAATTATTTCAATGATGTTAATGTCACTATACAAACTTAGATAAACACGCTGAAGGATAACCTTTATGTGAGTCATTATGATGAAAGCTAGCAGTTCAAGGAGTCGATAGTCAATTAAAGAGATTCCTCCCGCCTAACACACAAAGTCATTTCAGATGATGCTGTACACATTAGCACAGTTAATATAAGAAAAATCTGACCGATAAAACCATATATATATATATTTAACCCTTTTAAAAAGAGCATTAGTATGTTGGGAGGCTACAGAAGAGGAGGCCTGGGACAGCACTTTCCAAAGGCATGGTTAGCTTTTGTTTTGCTCTGCACTGGGGTATGGTTCCCCAGGGTGAGCTGGACGAGCGCAAGGACAGGTCAGGGGCAGAACTGGGGATTCTTCAGCAGAACAGCTTCCTACTGATGGAGTCAGTTGCTATGGTAACTCTGTGCACGTGTGTGTTTTGAAGTGTCCCATATGTAAAGGATTCAGATTTAGATGCCAGGTTTGTATTTAAAGAAACAGATGAATGTTGGGGGGAGAAAAAACATTAGAAGTCCAAATAGGAGTGGGAGTTCCAGTAAAACTCTCTATTTGCTGTTACATTGATGTGGACAAATTTTCAGCTACTAACAGTGTAATTACTCTTGCAAAATACGTGGGCTCACTTGCCCACAAAATATGTGGGCTCACAACGTTTTTGAGAGTCTGCAAGCCAGGAACCGACTTCATTCACATTCATATTTTCAAAAGCAAATTAGGTTCTGATGTATAAAAAACAGCCCATAACTGATTTTGCAAACTAACCATGTCTTTGTTTGCTTTGCTAGTCCTACATGTAAAGAATTATTATTACAATAATAATAATGATGGGAAATTAGAGGGTTTAGATTGGTATTTGCTGATTATTTGTTTATGATGGCAGTGCCTTGAGGCTCCAGTCATGGATGGGACCCCTTTGTGCTTAGCACATGTAGAATTTACACTTGAAGGCTGTAAACCTGCAGGCCTCTGCAGACATGCTTTTTTTTTTTTTTTGCAAGTGAAACATGAAAAAATAATCTGATTGCTCTTAGCTCTTTGGAACAGTGACCATCTTTTTGTTTATATCACCCAGGTCCCTATCACAAAGCCGTACTTTATGCTCATATATATACACTCATGAGCAGGGTTTCTATACCTTCCCTTCATTGAAAAAAACCAAAACAATACTAACAAAACCCCCAACTAATAAATACTCATCATCTAAGATTTAACCATAATTGGCAATTTGATCAAGGTCACAGTTTAAACTACAACAATGTACACCGTGTATACTGGAAGTCCAGTACCCCCAGTTTAACAATGCACCCTCAAATTACTGCTGAAGAATTGAAGACAACATGGGATTTTATAAATTGGGGATGATGGCGATTCCTTTGGGTCTGGTAATAATCTCTACTCTTACAAGGTAAACAAATATTTACAGTATGCCTACTGTAAGGGTCTCCACTGTTAACTGAGTTCAGCGTTAACAGGATTTACTTGCCACGATGAATTCCTTAAGAGAAGATGACAGTATAGTTAAATCTTAACACAGAAGCCCTGATTCCATAGTAAAAAGATCACATATGCTATAATATATGATGAAAAATTATAAATAAATGAGAAATTAGGATGAGTTTATTTTGCCGTTCATTCTAAAATTTTCACTGCAATCCCAGCTTCCTCTCAATTGGAACTGTTTTGCTTTTTCTATCCCACATCAATAACATGATGTAATTTCCCTGCCTGGATAAAGAAGCCTGGTACATTTTAAAAGTATATTTTACTCAAGTCTACAGTTCTGAATTATAAACTTCTTTTTTCATTGTTTAGTTGGAAAAAAAAATTCTTTCTACAAAAATCAATGTTTGCATTCTGAAAATGACTATATGGTACTTAGAGACCTGGAGAGAGAATTGTGTTTATGAAAACTTTTTCTCTTTTCATTCTGCTGAGCTAATAAAAGCTGTTCTCTCCAGACAAACTTTATCTTCCTTACATGCTTAGATATTAGCTTTACAGATACAGCAACACTACAAGAAGGCAGTATTCGGCACTAAGCAAGTAAAATATGGACTAAGAATATATTACACTTTTTAATTGTGATACCATTACTAAAGTATTACTGCTGGAGGGACTTCTTATCATACAAATTAAAAGGAATGCAGTGTAAAGAAGCAGAGGAAAAAGAGTAGAAAGAAAAGCTTTGACATGCACCTAGCTGATCCGCCAGATGTTTCCCCTTCTCCACAGGAACAATTCTTTCATCCTCCATGTCACATTTGTTTCCGACCAGGATCACTTGTGCATTGTCCCAGGAGTAAGTCTTGATTTGCGTGGCCCTACAAGCAGGTCAAAAAAGCTTGTTACCTTCCATCGGCCATGCCAAAATACAATCGTCTATTAAGTATGAAAACAAGTACCATTAAAGACAACATCAACATCTCAAGACTGTTATGTTGGTTAAAAGACAAATGACCAAGCTTACACATAAAGCAAGAATGCAGACTACGTAATTTACAGCACTGTTCTATTTTACTACCCCTTAACTTTGTGTGACAATTAAGTTACTTGCTAAAACTTTGCAAGTGTTTTAAAGATCACGAGATCCAGACAAAAAGCTGAATTGAATGATTTTTGAAGTCTAGGGGAAAAAAAACATTCTTCTAAAGCTCATTCTCCTTCACCTGTAATGTGTGAGAGGAACAACAATCAATTACACCTCTTAAGGATATTGTCCCTATCGAGAAAGCCATACAACAGATACACACTTCAAGCTAGATTCACAACTTCTTGTAAAACACATAACAATAATTCAGAGCAGACAAAAAAGATGTTCATTTGCTGCAGAGTTTTAGTAACAACATAAGAAATTGTGTTTTGAGAGTTAAACAGACGGAAGCATCAAGTCATCTTTGCTCGAACAGGAAAACTGGTTCATGGAGACTGAAAATTGCATAGAAACATGGAAACTATTGCTAAAGAGAAACAGAGATTTACCAAATTGGGAAGATACGGGAATCAAGGTAAGGCTCTGTGAGCTAATATTTGAACCCAGCAGGATTAAGTGACACCTAAGGCAGGGAACAGCAGATGCAATGACAGACAGCAAGTATCAGACAAACGCCAGCTTCCATGACAGAGGGATCATGTGCATGGGAGTTTAAGCAGGAGCACTGGGATGAACTTAAAGCCTCTAAAGCTCTCTGTGGCTCATGTGCTGAAACTGGAGTGGAGCTAGCTGTGGATCCCAGCGGTATGACCTTATATTTGGCCTCTTTGTAGCTTTTCTATGACAAAACAGAAGATTTTTTTTTTTCTATTTATCCTGAGGGGCCAGTCCTTTCCCACCATCCCCAGTGAGGTGTCACAGAGCCAGCAGCAGAACAGTATTAGCTTGGTAGCATTCATTTTCATCCATTTTTTCAGACTGGCCCAACCTATTTTATCTTCACCAAGTCAGCTCTATCTTTTAAGACTCCCTCCTTCCCAAAGGTAATTAGGCTGCTCTGCCAGAAGTGATACACTCCTTCCCTCCTCCAGTCCCTAACTCACTCTTTGTCCCTACTCGGCACCCCTCCATACAGGACACTGCAGTTTCCGGCAAACCTGCCATTTCCCAGGAGACCCAGGAGTCCCCGCACATTTTATTTCTGTTTAGTTTGCTTGAAGTCCCTTAACAATAAAGCACTTGATTCCTTCTCTTTTGAATTACCAGCAGCCTCCAGCTCTGATCTACTAATGATAATTTTTAATTAGTTTGAGTTGCTTACTTGCCTTTTCCATGGAAAACAGACAGTCACGTTACTCCACAGATCTCTATGAAAAAGGGGATCATTTCACTGTGCAACTTGCCTTTAAGCAGCCGCCTGTTTGGATTGCACTGGAAAACACAAACCTAAACGAAGCCCACTGCACAAGCCCAGACCCATACTGCAACACGCTAAAATAATCAAGGACTTCGTGCAGTGAAACTTCTTACTCTTCTTAGTGTCCTCCTGGAAAGGCACTCACTCCAATCCCAATTTTGGCTCTTCCACTTTCACCCTTCTGAGTGCCTCCATGTAGACAAGCCCTGTGAGAGCTAGTATGAGTCTGTGATGAGTTTATGCGGTATTCTGGGGTTTCCCAAGGCTCATCATGGACAGGGATGACCTCAGAAATCAACCAAAGCCAAGGAAGATGAAATCTCCCCAGTCTCCCTCTATAAGCAACAGAGAGAAAGAAAGTCTGTCCAGGTTCAATTTAAAACACCTATAACCAGGCTTCTCTTCTGACTCCCATTCCTCTCTCTGGATTCATTTCAGCCCCTGGGGGGGTCATATGGGGACAAACTGCCAAATCCTAGCTATTTTAACAGAATTACTTAGAATATGAAAAAGAAGAAAAACGCATGAAGGATCTCCCGCAGAAACTCATCCTTCTCCTTGTTTTGTACAAGTTAGTGAAAATCCTCTCGTGCAGAACACTACCATTTACACTTATTAGGAATAAAACCAAACAAATAACAAACAAAAGTTATGAAGAAGAATGTCTAAAAGAAACCCTGCTCCCCATACAAAAAAAAGAAAGGCTGCAAATTTCCAGAAGCTTTTGGAAAGGTAAATAAATAAATAAATGAAAAGGCTTCTGCAATTGAGATGTTTCAACAACTATCAGGGCAGTCCAATATACACACTGGGAAAAATATATTTCTGTGAGACAGTAACAATGCTGTGCCTTATTTGTGCTGAATTCCTCAAATTAACGATAAAGCATGGTTTTTATGCTTCATGCTTAGGAGAAAAATAGTCTCAGGTTCACAGTTACATGGATATATCAACAGCCTAATTTGTAGATCAGCCTTTAAGATAAATAAAACTGATGATTTGTGAACCCAGCTGTCACTTAAATCGAAGTTACATTTAACCAATTTTTTCTTCCCTTCTATGAAATGGTCTAGATTGTCCAAAGCAGAGTTTCCATAATATTTTCTATTTATTTTACAGTGTCAAATGCTGAGTATATTCTAGTTTCAGTACAGTTTCAAATGAGGTATAAACCACTGATTTATCTACACACAAAACTATCAAGCCAATGTCAAATAATAACTGTCAAAGAAGCCTACTAAAAAAAAATCTAGAAACTGAGCTGAAAGCCATGAAAGCTCATTTAACCCTTTCACTCACCCTACAGGACAGATGTCTTATTATTCAAACAAAATAATAAGTTATTTTCAAATATTAGGTAAAATCCGTCTTTGCTTTTGCCCATTTATGCTTTTTCTTCTAAAATAACCTGACTGTACTCTTGCCACACTTTTAAGGCTTCTCATACAATCTGCTGTACCTTTCCCAGTGAAGGAATAAGAGAACAGGTCATGTCCTAGATATTCCCAACTGCATTTAAATTGTGCATTTTGCTCTTTCTCAGCTGCTTTAAGATAATTATCATTAATTAGGGTGATTCGTGTGAATGAAGGGAAGACTACCTCACATTCATATACTACCTTGAGAGCTTGTCTAAATACCTGATATAAAGCCATGATCCTCCTCATTCAGGAGAAAGAGTGCCTTTACTTGGTTTAGGAGAAGTATTTCTGGAGCGACACAAAGCAAACCAGAATCCTGTTTAGGACGTCCACCCATAAGAAGGGTGCGGTAAAAAGATCACCCAAAGAAGAAATCATGTGGCAGACTGGAAGAGATATTCTTGTTTCCTTTGTGGGCAGGTGAGGCCCAGTCAGGAGGCTGGTAAAACAGTCACATGCCAATGTGCCAAAGATGAGAGGTAAATTGCACCAGACGTACAGGAGAAGCAGTTTTAGAGGGGATGTTGAAGCTTCATGAAAAGGCTTGGAGAATAATAAGGCTAGTGAGCACAACCTGCTATGGCAATTTTCCAGCTAGAGGGAGGATATAAGCTCTGAGATGCTGGAGAGGTCTCGAAGGGGAAAGACTTCTCTCTGATGGAGAGCTGACTTTGCACAAGTCTACCTTCCCATAATTTCATTGTAATTATGAAGATGAATTTTCAGATCTATGCACACCCCTATGAGCTCAACAGAAGTTAAGAGTTTGTCATGGGCAAGAGCTTACTTGGAGTGCTAGGTCTCTGGTTCAGCTGTTTGTTCATGCTTTTGGCTTGTTTTCTGTAGAGAACTCTGCAGGAAGAGACGGTACAAGAGAAAGCAGTGAGATGGGCTGAGACTCATGTTGACAGCCTGCTTACACAGCATCTTAAAAAACCTGCATCACTAAACAGCAATAGGCAGGGCGCCAGCAAGAAGGGACAAGCTTTAGACTGGACAATGTCCTACTGTAAAACACATAGATGACTACTGTACACAACTTGACCCGTTTCAAGGTTCTGTGAATGGGTACAATTTTAGGATCCAGGAATTTAAGTTCAGGTGGGAAATTCTTACCAGCCAATGAGCATGGACTGGGATGGAAAGCAGCCAAAAGTTAGTGGAAGGGGCATCACTTCATATTTTGTTTGCTGATGATTTTCTTGAGGTATCCTCCTAAGCTTGATTGTATTTGCTTTATGAACCCAGTCCCATGATCACATGGCAGATGGCTTACTCATCTTTTTATGCCAGAGAAACACTCAAATTCCATCCGCACATGCTATTTTAGAAATAACTGGGAACGTTAACAGGTTTCTTACTGGATTTAATTCACATTAACTGAGTACTGCTGATTTATTCTCAATGTCTAAAAGGTCAGCCGATCTGCTGCATCATGCTGCATTTATGACAAAATATTCAACTTAAGAGTATTCTTTATTTACTATAGCTGGACACTGAAAAATGCATCACTAGCCAGCTAGGATAGCAGGACACTTAAAAGAGAGAAAGGATGTGTAGGATTAATTGCTGTAATTTCTGGAAACTTGCAGAATGTAAGAAGACCTGGGATGAGCTTTGCTGTTAGCTTTTGCATATATTCTAGGTGGATGCCCCATTTAATTTCAATGAAAGTTGAAGTATGGTCTTAGAACTAGCGTGGTTTGTTGTAGCCTCACCTAAACCTCTGCAAGCAGAGAGGCAACTCACGTATTGGGCCACACAGCCTTCCTTGCAAGGTAAAAAGCAACTTGCAACTTTGCCATTTCGTAGGAATCTAGGAGCAACACTACGGAGGGTAACAGCTTCATTAGCGGAGAAGGGGTGGTTCAGGTACTTGTCCTCCCATCAGACTCTCTCACATCCCAAACATTCTGGGTTCACTCCTCTCACTTTTACAGAGGTCCTCCTTCTTGGGCACATCAGGAAGGCTGTCCTATCCACATGTGATGGATGAGACAAGGCAGGGCTGAGCATTAGGGGCATGCTACTGACTTTGCAGCCCATGCAGCTTCCCAATTGCTGCCACTCCATCCTCTCACCAGCACCAAATGGAAGCACTGCAGGACTGCTAGGGCTCTGCTTTTATCATTAGGCATGCTGCTGCTGTCTCGCATTTGACCTGAAGAAGGGACTAGGCTCATGGAGATAAAGGCTCTGAGCTAAAGGAGCTCAAGTAGTAGACATTTTAATTTTCCAAGGAGACTACAGTTCCTGACTGAAGACCAGATCCAGTGTAATGTTTTTTTGAAGCATAACCAGCATGGTGGGAAAAAAACAAAACCAAAAATCCTACGTACTTGCTATGCTAGCAAATGGCAGAGGCTGATATAGCAGCACCAGCACCAGACAAAAGCTTTTGTTTCCATTTCTTGCCCCTTTGGAAGGTTAGAAAGCAATTTTGCAGACTGGGAAAAAAACACCTCTTAGCTGCATTGCCACTAGAGGACTCTGCTGGCACAGCGATGCTGGCTTTGCTACAGTCCTCATCTCCTCTCCTGTGGACAAGCTTCAGAAAGGATGGAAATGGTCTACCATAGGCCGATTTTATCTGCCCCATGACATCATTTGGGCTCAGAATCTTAAAACTGACAGTTGGAAAGATTCCTGACATACAGAGTAAAAACCAACAGTGATGGTTTACCTCTGTCCTTTGGCTGACAAGGTGCTCTTAGCAAAGATATTTATGCAGCCCCTGTGGCACAGGGAGACAAAATCAAATACACAAAGCCAACCTTTCCTAATTCTTGCACTCTTGCACCATTGCCTTTGATGGAACAGATGCGAGACCATTGCCAGTACAAAGCTTCAGGTTAAACTTCACCTGTACAAACTTTAAAATAGTATCTCGTAGTGGCAGCTCATAGATTGAGATTTGGTATCTTTTGGCTAAGTTAAGACTAATAAGTAAAACATATTAGAGAGAAACCAACAGATGAACTGGTCATATATACCTTGTTTCAACAGGGAACCAAGCCAAAAATATTTATAGTTTAGTGAAAGATATTGCCCTAGCTCATGTGCCTGCACTCCCATGGAAAAAAAAAAAAAATCCCTGTGCAGACACTTGGAGAAACAGCTTCATCTGAGTTTGGTGGAGGGTGTGCCATGTGGAGGAACGTGGTTTTGGCAAAGCCTTTGGGTTTGTGTTTCCCACAAGGAAAAAATGTATTCCTTCATCATTAGCTGCTGAAGGACAGCTCAGGGAAGGTGCTGCAGTTCATCTTCTGCAGCATGGTGTCATGATACTACAGATGGGGTGAAAGTGGAGACTACATCTTTAGATGTGATGATTATGACCAACTGCTACAGTGGACAGCGAGAACAAATAATGGGCAGCCATGGAGGAAGGCCAAATTACTAGAAACAACAAACAGCATTGTTGTGGCTTTTGAGTTACAACCTAGATTAGGGGATATAGAATAAGTGTTCAACAAAAAGCCAGACTGAGCTGGATGCTAAGAGCCAGTGCCATAGCCAGCATATGTTCCAGGAGAAGGATGCTCTTCTGATCTGTTAGGTAAGAAAATTTTTAAGTCACCTTGCATGCTGCTGTTTTATGCTCCTGGGAGGTCACTGAGATCACTGCAAATCAATCTATCAGTCAGACTTGGGAGATTACATTAACCATTACATTGCCTTTCTTTGCATACTGACGATACCTATCTGCAGTATACAGCAACAGGGTAACACGCAGAAATGATTGCAAGACATTTGAGGGGAGCCGCTGAGATACTATTTCTGAGGATACCTTTCTCCTGCCTCCCCATGCCTTGTATTTCCTACACAAAGTCTGGTGTCCCTTTGAGAGGATTCCATGTCAGAGCATGATGTTCCAGCAACAGGGTCCAGCCTTCTGCTTACCTGTGCCGTGCCTGCGGCTGCTACGTCACAGCAGCAGCTCAGATGTTCTCATCCCAAGCACTGTGCTAGGTCCCTGCTGAGAAAACACCTCCCATCAGATACCACTGAGGGGACTGCAGGAACTGCCCATGGCCACAGAAATGACGTGCTCTGGCTCTTCTGGGAAGACCCCTACTCTTCCTGCTCTGTACATGTACTTGTCTGGAAGGCAGGAGAGCAGGAAGAAGGTCTGGGCCACAGCTCTGCTTCCAAAACCAGATCACAGTGTGGGGTGAGATGGGACATTTCTTCCCGAGGAAGAAGACAGGTGGTATGAGCTACAAGGGGAGCCTCCAGGTGGTGAAGGGGAAGTGCACACCAAAATGTAGGGGAGACCACACTGGGGGTACCAATGCAGCTTTTATAGTGCCATGGGGTTTTTAAAGTGACTGACCTGGTGCTTTCTTTTTTCACTGTGAGCCAAAAATATTTCCTGGCTTTTTGTCATCAGAAACTCCAGAAATCATTTTCTGGTGTTTCTGCATTTGTACTGAATTCAGTGGAGCCAGAGAAGCTTATAACAGCTGAGAATCCGTTTCATACTTAGTTTTAGGGCTAAGTCCCCACCCTTCCCATTTAATAGATAACTCCTCCTCTCCCATCCCACACTGAGCAGTGCCTTACAGAGTTGTTCAGGTGCTTTCTGTAGTCAGTGGTAACAGACAGGCCCCTTCCAAGGGGTATGCTTGCTTTCTGTCCTAGACCTTGCTCTTCCTTCTCTTATTACAACTACAACTAATTTAAACTTCACAAGTTTTAAATGGGTAAAGTTAGATTTTTAATTATCTCAAGTTAGGCAAGGTGAATACTGCAAGGTGTCTACACTTGTAGGTTAAAAACAAACAAAAAAAAAATCACTTTTTAAGGCAGTTTGGAAAGATTTAGCCTTATTAGATTTTAAATGAGATTTGACTCAAACAACCACTGTTAAACTGGGTTGTTTTAGCAGCATAGCCAGCGACCTCATAAGCCCAAATAATGCATTAAAGGATTAAATTCCTTTACAATAAATTAGAACTTTTAAAAACAACTGCTATAGTATGCTACTATATTTGAATTATAACTTTTTCATTAAAGTGAAGCTGTAGAACTTTTTCTAAGGAGAGTTTAAAAAACAAATTATTTATCCCAGAGTTTAGATGAAGAGGAAAGAATACAGTGATGCAAAGCACTGTGGAGGGTGGGATGTCTAATGTTATCAACAAACAATTGTGAGCAGAGAATTGGCCTAAAACCAAACACACACAACAACAACAATATTTCATACCAGTCCTGTACTGCATTGAAGGAGTCTTCACTGGTGATATCATACATGAGGATGAAGCCCATGGCTCCTCGGTAGTAGGCTGTAGTGATGGTCCTGTATCTTTCTTGTCCAGCTGTATCCTGGAACAGAAAGGAATATTTGGGCTTTAAGACTTCAATTCTCAGAAACGGGAGTTGTAGTTAGGTCCTAGATCTAAAGTAAGGCAACGACTTTTTGTTATTATACATTTTTAAATTCTCATTTGTTCCCAACTGAAATGAACTCTACTTACATTTTAGCATTAATTGGGCTTTTGCATCAACTATGAATTGTTAAATGCATTTTGACACATGTACTATTAAAAAAATACCAAAGATGTCAACCCTTTAATTGCTCTTCTCTGCCTCAGCCTCAATGCAATAATAAAATGTTAGCAGAGTTCACTGAAAGCTGACACTTCAAAGCAGAGGCAATAAAAAACAGTCTAGGACTGTACCAGGCAAAAGACATTTACGTGTTGCAATTTAGTGTCACGGTCAGGAAAATGTCCTTAAGATAGATGCTGCAGGTGACTTGGTTCTTACCTGAGGTTAGAGACAACAATTAAAGACTTGATGCAAAGAAAATTATTCTGCAAAGTGAATTTAATGTGGAATATCCCAGTCACGATGTCTGAGGTGCACATACTAATTTGAGATTTACTAATCCTCTTCTGTCAGTTCAGCTTAATTCTCTTTACCTATAGAGTGCTGTAGAATACCTCTACCTGCAGTTGTCATTTCTATGTTTTTCACAAAGGTGAAACTCTGGCATATACAACAGAAGAATTTCGAAAGACTTGTGACAGCTGGAAAACATGTCAGCTACCATCTGTTGGATGCCAGCAACGTTTATTCCTCACATTTTGGGTGCCTGCTCTTAAACTGAGGAATATCACTACATCAGATCAGCAGTCCTGCAGCCCATCTGTTCCCTCTGGACCTGCCTTCTGAACCAAGGAGAGAAGTCGTGTGCTTAACGTATCTCTCATTCAGTAGATATCTATCATTTGAACAGACACGTTTCATCCATCTTTTGGCAAATGGCAACTCCGTGAAACAGCTGCAGGGAGGCAAAAGGTCTTACCTTCAAAGAGCGTGTTCAGCATAAGGTGTTGACTGCTAGTTACTCTTACGGGTTAGCAGTTCTGAAATGAATGGGCCTTTAGTCCTCCAAAACCCATGACTTAACTTAAGTTAACCCATTAACTTAAGTTAATGCTTAAAGAAAGCATTTACTGCCACTGGTTTAAAATGTGATTAAAGTTTCTCTTCTCTAGAGAAAAAGACCCTAAAGGACTTATCAATCATATAGGTAGTTGGAAGAGTAAAATAAATCCATGTAGAGCACTCTTGCAGGAGTATAGAGCCAGTTTCTGATCAGACACAGCACATCACTGCAACCCAAGAAAACACACAAGATGCAGTGGGTGGGAAACTAATCAGCTTTAAAATCCTCCTGCCCATCATTCCCATACATGCAGCTTTGGTTTTGCTGCATGAAAGAGATGGTGTTGGCCCTTCCAGAACACATGCTAGCCAGTCGATGAAAGCGGAAAGCATCAATGATCACCTGTTGTTCTGCACCAGAATATCACAGAGGCTCTCTGTAGGAGGCAAGTGCTTGTAAATAAGCTCCCTGCAGCTTGCTTAAAAGGCTCTGCCTATTGCACTACCGTGAGACTATCCACAGCTGTAACACACCGCAAATTTCCCAGTGGAGGGATTATGCAGCAGGAATCTTGCTGTTTCTCTACCACGCTTCTGGAAAAAGAAGGAATTTTTCCCTGAAACTTGTGCATTTATTTCAAGACAGGGTAGTCCATTGGCTGATCACGGTGAGGCACTGCACACTGACTGAGAAAGAGTCCTCCTGTTCCCTCCTGACAAGGAGTACCAGAATGAGGTGAACTACACCTCGCAGCCTAAGTGACCACTTCTTCTCCTGCCATTGATAAATCCTCACAGAGCACTCTCGTATTCACTGACTCCGCATCCTCGCTTAGCTGCTGAACAGCTAAACCAGCTGTGCCAGCTAGATCCTGACTGTAATTCTTTAAGTGGGAAATGTCTCAGCAGCAATAGCATTTTCCCGTTTATTCAAGTGCATGATAGTTGCTTTATTTTAGCCTGATTTCCTAAGGGCATGAGGCTTATTAAATCATCAGTCTCCACACGTGCACATGTATATGGTCATTATAACTCTACTGACTTTTGATCAAATTTGACTGAGATGAAACACTCTCAAAGGTACATTCTTACAAATATCACGAAAATAGTTGGTGAGGTGAAGAATAGAGACCTTAAGCATACCTTAGCTGGGGAAAAAAGCTTAAGTGCAATGCTTATCTTTTTCCGACACCAAAGAATCCACAGAGGAGAGGCTTTCTTCATGCCTCATTAGGAGAAAGACCTAAATCAGTATTAGTAACTTCTCAGATCCTGCAAGCAACAAAAAGAAACAAATCCATAGGAAGTCGGACTTCTTCAGTTCTCATGCTCACAGCGTTGTTGTTTTCCACCTGCATTCCCAGGTTCTTCTACCTCCCAAATCTCATCTTCTATTTTCTGCTCTGTATTTAACTAGCGCTCATTTTGGCTCAGGGCATGAGGCTGTGAGCAGGCAGTAAGCAACAGCAAGACACATTGTCTAGCTATACGCAGAATAATTTGGAAAGAAATTAAATTTGACAATAGGTTGGAGCAGTGAGCTCTGAGGATGTACACCCAGGCTGTCCTGGGAAGCAGGCCCAAGGGACTCTGAGGGTAGCTTCCAAAACCTGCCCTGGTACCATCTCAGTGCCTCGGCTGAATGAGGAATTGGACTCAACCCACAGAGTTCATCCGTGTTAACGGCAAACTGTGGTATTGCCTGAAAGCTCTGAAATTTAGTCATTCTGGTTTGTTGATTTCAGTATTCTGCCTGCAAACCCCCTGTGTGTGGAGGTGGGCCCCAATTTATACGTAGTGAGAGACAGGGACGTGGCTGCAGGAGGTACAGAACCCCAAAGGGCTACATGCGTTTGCTTAGTCATAACCGGTTCTCTGGTAGACAATGCACTTACCTCATTAGGAAGGTAATTTGCATATTCATTAGTATATACTTAGGTGCCTGCCTTCTCGGTTATCAGAGGGGGTGTGTGGGGGGGAAAGGTATCCTACATTTCATGGTATGTAAGGTTTATTCATAACCTTGCCCTGGTAGCCATGTGGTACAATGCAGAGATGTGATTCATCTCTGCGTGAGTCACTGATGGATTCCTCGCTCTGTTTTACTGTACAGGTACAGGGCATGTCATCTCTCCTTAAAGGTTTTTAGTTGCATTTTTCCAAATCCATTTGAATCTTTGTAATATCACCCCAAAGTGATTTTTTTCCTCAGGTTATGTTAGCTTCTTAGACAGCTATAAACTGGCTTAATTTCCTTGACTCACACCATGTTTTATGCTAGCTTCAGTGAGCACCCCCACCCCCCCAGATACTTCAACATAAATAAAATAAAACAAACTGCAAAATCTGAGCTCAGATTCTTCAGCATTTACAGTAGGTGCCCTTACAGCAGTTAAAAACACCACAAACCTTAGGTAATTAGGCATTTCATTTTTTTATATGCAAGACGTTTATCTAATGAAGGAGAAAATAACTGATGCAGATTGCTCCCCCCAAGTTGTTTGCAAGATTTCCAGGTAGACCACAAACTCATTAGAAGACAAGTAGATGAGGCACAGGCAGGGATCAGCAGAAACCTGGTGTAGCTTTAATTAACAGTCTAGCAAATACCTAGGAAGAATAGCCCGAGCCTTCAGCATCCAGAAGCCTGCTTGGCTGTCCCTGATGAGGTATCAGAAAGCTTGGTTGTAACCAAGCCAGAAGGGTCTCTGTGAGGTATATTTACACTAATGTGCTAACAACTCTGTTCTTTTGTAGCTTACATATGCATCTGTCCTTGATACAAACAATTAAACCCCCCCACAAGACCATTAGTTGGTAGCTTGAAACAAAAATTTGAAGGTTTCGCATTAATGAGCAATCAAAATTCATTGTTTATCACAGGAGAAAAAGACCTAAATGCATTTGCATTATGTGCAGATGCCCTCTACTCACAAGATCCATCACCTAAACAGTCACAATAGGAGTACAACCAGTTTTTCTTAAATTTACTTAGTTGTCTCAGCAGAAACAGCAAGGTACTTACATAGGAAACATATTTGAGGTTTTTAAATCATGCCAGATACTCTTTGCTGCAGGTCTGAAAAATCAGAATCCCTGATTCTGAACCATCGTTCTTCTAGTGAAGATTTCCAGCCACGAGTTCTTTGTTCCAAATGAAATGTCACTGAAACTTCTCATCTGTACAGGATTTAATCCCCTCAGCACCATGACTGTTCTAACAGTGTGTGTGACAAACAGCCTCTAAAGAAATAAACCTTTCAATTTTTTTTAAAGGATTATGGTTTGATTTTTTGGTTGTTGTTGTTTTTGTTTTGTTTTTTTTTAAAGAAGAACCATACGTAAAAATAAGAGTCACCTGTTGTCCAGCTGGTTTGCAACAATTACAAGATGCATGTACTTAGCATCATCCTTGCTTAGGCTGCTCAGTATCAGAACAGAGGCTATGTCAACCCCAATAACCAGGACCAACCACAATTTTGGGGCTTCATCAGCTGTGGTGAAGGAGAGACCTCTTCTCTTCCCTTACTGTTCAGCGTCACATCATGACACCTCTGCTATAGCTTTTTGCACCTCGTTTGGAGTTTGGTCAGCCTTGGAGACAGGATAATCAACTTCACGGCCCAGCGGTTATAGGGGCAGCAAGCTGTTAGACATTGAAGCGTCAGGAAACATCTGACTCCCTGCAAACACAGATCAGTTCTCAGCAAGACTGGCCACCTCAGCTCCTGTTCTCGATACAACAGAACCTGAATAAGCAAGAAGTAAAGGCACATTGTGAAGGCAGAGGGCTGTTTGTCCTGCTACAGGCCAATCTGGGACTCAGTAATACTCAACCCCTTTACATCCAAGACCTGTTTACTGTCCCTTCTGCATGGATGAGGAAACATTCGCCCTCACATGGAGCTATGTTGGTGTCTCTGTTGTGACTA